TTGCCGATGTAGATTACTGAAGCCCCTTGCGTGCAGCGCGTGTTAAGGCTCCCGATTTCCTCCTGGCGGGCTGAATGGGCTTTGACTGCGTGCCGATTGTGCTTGTGTTGTGTATATTCCCCGCCTGGGCGCCGAGGTCCCCCACACCCCTCGGAGGAAACGTCCAGTCGAGTCGATTTCCTGGTCAGAGTGACCCTGCGTGGCATCCTGGGCTGTCACATTCCCCCCAGCGGGCAGTCAGGTCTGTCTGCTGCGGAGCCGCTGCGTGGGGTCAAGCCAGTGACCTACTGGTTAGCAGCTTGGTGTTGAACCACTGGGTCCCTGAAGCCTCTTAGAAGAAACTTCAACTCCAGAAAACCGAGCTCATTGTTGTTGAGTCTGACTTGCTAGGGCTTCCTGGGCTCTAAATCATTACCCAGATGGACTTAGCACAGGCCTTTCTCCCAAAGGAGCTTCTGGTGGGTTGGAACTGTGCCTTTTTGGTTAACAGAGGAGTGCTTAACGACTGCACCACCAAGACTCCTGAGAGATCACATCTACTCTCCAGTCGAGCCTGACTCATCACAACCCTCCTTTGGGTTTCTGAGGCTGTAAATCTTTGAGGGAGGAGGAGATGGCCTCATCTTCGGGCATATTTGAACTCCCGACATGTTAGCTGCCTGGTGATGTAATAGACTCTTATCACCAGGGCTCCTTAGTGGGCGGGTGACTTCTTCTGAACCATTTGCCTGGGTGAGTGAAGGCAGATCCAGACCTTCTCATATTGCACCCAGCTCACACTTGTAGGCCAGATGGGGTCTGTGTCTTATCTAGCTCTGTCTCGCTCTATAACCTCACTGACCAGCTTGCTTTGGCTGTGGGCTAAGCCGCCTTCTCATCTCAGGACCTCTGCACGCTCTGCTCCCTCCCTGGACCCTTCCCCCAGAGCCTTTATCCTTTGGTTTCTGCACAAGGACAGTTTGTCAGTGAAAAGGGGCAGGCACTTCTTCATGTTAACAGTATTTGTCTTTGGGACTGTCAGTTTTGGATAAGGTTTGCTTTCTAATATTTCCCCCAAATATGTATAGTAAGGTGGCTTAAATTTCTTAGTGGAACAACAATTCTACATTACATCCCTAAATTGGAAAGAACGTAAAACTATGCTATTAAAAAAATCCCTCCAACCTCTACTTAGCCATAATTCTGTCACTTGGAAGCCATTTAACAATTTCCTCTCTGTGTGTGTGTGTGTGTGTGTGTGTGTGTGTCTGTGTGTCTTTTTTTTTATTGATTTTAATGAACATTTACAGATTTTGGATTTCTATTCATTCATTGTTGCACTTTTCTCTCCCATTTAACAATTTCTTGACGGACCCTGTGTTTGGTGTAATTTTCCCCCTCCAATATTTGAGATCATACAAGGTAATTTTAAAGAATAATGATTAAATGCTTGAATGCTGACAGGTTAGGTGTTCATACCCACCCAGTTGTTCAGTAGAAAGACATGGTGGCTTTCCCCATGAAAGTTTCCACCCAGGAAGCTCTTTGGGGCACTTGTACTCTGTCACGTGAAGTTACTCTGAGTTGGAATGGACTTACTTGGTGGTACCTAACAACAGGGTGTTTTTGGTGCTGTTTAAAGCATGTAGCATGGTCATACCTAAAACTTGTAAAAGAACATCTACTGGTGCATTTGTCTGTGAACCATTATTTTACCTCCTCAGTTGACTCCCAAGGGAGCTCTGGTGGCTAAAAGTAAGGAGCTGTAATGTCAACCCAAAGGCACATGGTTCAGATCCGCCAGCTGCTCTTTGGGAGAAAGATGGGCCCTCATCTTCCTTGTGATTTCTTGCCTCTGAGAACCTGCTAGAGGGTCAGCTGTGGGTCTCTTCTGACTTGATGGTAAACAACAACATTCACTCCCAGGGAACCTGGCGGCTCAGTGGTTAAGGTACTAGAATCTGTGATTTGGAGACCAACCAGTTGCTCTGCCTTGGATTTGCAGAGTCTGGTCTGTCCTTTTAGGGCGCTGAGCCGGACTCTGTTTGTTGGCAGTGGGTATGGCTTTGTTTTGGCTCCCTGGCGGCTCCTTGCTCACTTGAGAACCAAGTTCCAGCATTCTTCCCTCCTGCTGCGCTTGTCTCTGAAGCCTTATCATGTTCTCATCAGCATACACACCACTTTGACCCTGCTGTTGCCTTTCCAGTCATCAAGAGCCCTGTCAGCAGCCTTTGACCAAGTAGTCATTCTGCTTTTGTCCCCAAAAGACCTGCTGACAGGTCTCAGATGGGTATACCCTCACTGAGTCTTCCTTCTCAAAGAACCACTTACAAGTCTCAGGCCATCCTGTTTCGGGACAGGGCAGTGACATTCATCAGGGTGCTCAGATCAGAACCCTGTGGTGACCCCGGCCTGTGTGTCTCTCACGTCTTCCACCTTGTGGGTGCTCCTCATTGCCTTTACATCCTGACCTCCTCCCTAGTCCTCATAGTCCCTCCACCCAAGCCCTTCCCTCATCCTTATGCTCTCTTCAGCTAGCTCTTCCCTGGTTCTTGTGCTCCCTTCACCCAGCTCCTCCCTGGTCCTTGTACTCACTCTAAGCAGTGGTCCTTATGGTCCCAGTTCTCCAGCTTACCTCCTCTGTCAGGACCCTCCCTGGTGTCTCATTCTCTCAGGGAAGCCAGGGTCCAGATGTAGTTTTAGAAAGCCTCTCTGAGAGGCCTAGTATCCCTCCAGCTACTGCTGACCTTACCTGCTCCTTGGATATCCATTGTGGGCTGTGTTATTGATACTTGTTCTTTCTGCCCAAACTCCCAGGTCCATACGGTACCTTGACTACCATGTTCCTTTTGGCTGGTCCCCACCTGATTGTCCTTTCTTGTGACCATCAGCTGGTATCCTACCCATTTCCTGAGATGCTCTGTTCTGTGCTCTTACACAGGGTGGCCTCCGAAAGTGGCCAGGTCCTGTCCACGCTGCCGTAGTAAAGTGAGGCACTCGGTTTTGGCTCTGTGTATAAAAATGATGTTTATGATATGTTAGTTTATGAAAAGGAGTTCTGTTGGTGTAGTGAGTTCTCTGTTTTGCCGCTCATTGAATGGTCAGCAGTTCAAATCCACCCATTGCTCTGAGGGTGGAAGATAAGTAGTCTCTCTTTTTTGTAAGATTGACAGCCTTAGAAGCCTGATGCAGGATCATTATGGGTCAAAATTAACTTGTTGGCAGTGGGTTTGGTCTTTTTGGTGGTCTGTGACTTGTGTAGTAGTCGTTTGATAAAATTTGAAATGTTGAGAGATTGAAATTTGACTCAAAGACACAATGGAAAAATGTCGTAGATTTAGTCATCAAGGCTTGCCATGATCTCCGGTTTGTAAGACACCGTCTGTGAAACTTGGTAGAGCTTGCAAGTCCATAGACCCCCAAAAGGGTAACCTGGTCCAGAGGAGTCCCCTTCCTGCCTCTGGCCCTCTTCTCCTCAGGGTCACCCTGCTGCCTCAGGTTAAAGGCACTGCTGTCCTCTGCTCCAGGGCCTCCACATTGTTTCCAGGGATGGATATGACTTAAGGACAGACCAGCTTACCTAGGCTTCCTTGTGTTCCCTTAACAGAGGTGTCCTGAACAGCGTAATCCTAGCTTTCTCTGTGACCATCCCAGTATCTCAACCTGCCTGACTAGGCGGGTCCCAATATAGCATTTGCTACCTGAAGTAGCCCATCACAGCTTCCCATGTACCTGAGGTACCCTTTTACAGCATCTAGCCTACCTGGGTTGTCTCATCACAGCACTCCACCTACCTGTTGTTATAGTTATGAGCTGTGGAGTCACTTGCGGCTCTTAGAGACCCTGTGTACAATAGCCCTGAACCTGCTCTATCCTGTGCCAACTTTACTGTTTGTGAAACACCTACTCTTATTACCTCAGTCACTGAATCAATTCATCTCATCGATGGTCTTCCTTTCTTTCTCTGTTTTTCCACCCTTTCAAGCATGATGTCCCTCTCCAAGGACAGATCCCTCCATGCAGCATGCCCAAAGTATGTCAGACAAAACCTCAGAATCCTTGCTTCCAAGGAACAACCTGGTTTCACCCTCCTAGGATGAACCTGTTTATTCTCTTGGCTACCTGAGGTGCCCTTTTGCAGCATCCCACCTACCTGGGATGTCCCATCACAGCATCCTACCTACCTGAGGTGTCCCATCACAGCCTCATACCTATCTGGGGTGTCCCATCACAACACTCCTCCTACCTGAGGTGTCCTTTTACAGCATCCTACCTATTTAGAGTGTCCCATCATAGTAACGCACCTGCTTGGGATGTCCCATCACAACAGTTCATCTACTTTTGGTGTTTCATCACAGCACCTCACCTACCTGGGGTGTCTTTTTCTAGCATCTCATCTATCTGGGGTGTCCCATCTCAGCACCCCGTCCACCTGGGGTGTCACATCACAGTATCTCACCTACCTGAGTATGTCCCATCGCATCATCCCACCTACATTACACTATGTCCTCCTGGGGAATCCAGTGTTTTTAAGAACTCATGAGGGAGTGTGCTTGGCAGAGATGTAGCATTTGCAGTCAGCAGATTGTGCTGTTTGATTTGCGTGATGTAGGGGTGTGCCCGTACTCCTGCCTGACCGCTGGTGTTTCACTGGCTCCTGAGTGCTGCTTGGCCACGTGTAGAGGGGTGTGTGCTGTGATGACAGGTGTGCTGTGTCACACTGAGCTGTGACGACGGATGTACTGACGCCCTGTGTGCTATAATGACAGGTGTGCTATGATGCCAGATGTCCTGTGATACCGTGTGTGCTGTGATGCTTTGTATGCTGTGACGATGAGTGTGCTGTGATGATGGGATGCTACATGTGCTCTGCCATGTGGTGCTGTCAGGGGGCACACATGCTCAGCATCACCCAAGATGGTTGGTAGCCATCTACATGCGCCAGGCCTGGGATCTGCCTCCAGTGACTTGACTCTGTTTTCCTAGGTTGGTGTTCTCTTGGAAGAAAGAGGGGGGTGAGGATGCACCATGGCGGTGGTCCCCCGAGCGCCCAGCTCCCGCTGCAGCGGTCCCGCTCTTTCACTGGTGGCAGCGAGGGCGAGGAGCAGCAGCCCCACTCCGGTCTGCCCCAGTCCCCGGCCACGGCCTTTGCCCCGTCCGCCAGCCCGTCTGCGCCCCAGTCGCCTGGCTACCAAATCCAACAGCTGATGAGCAGGAGCCCGGTGGCGGGGCAGAACGTGAACATCACCCTGCAGAACGTGGGCTCGGTTGTGGGCGGCAGCCAGCAGATCACGCTGGCACCCCTGCCACTGCCCAACCCCACGTCGCCTGGCTTCCAGTTTAGCACTCAGCAGAGGCGCTTTGAGCACGGCTCTCCGTCTTACATCCAGGTCACCTCCCCGCTGTCCCAGCAGGTCCAGACCCAGAGCCCCACGCAGCCCAGCCCAGGGCCGGGACAGGCCCTGCCGAGCGTGCGGGCTGGCGCCTCGGGTCCCGGGCTGGGCCTGTGCAGCACCAGCTCTTCGGGTGGCTTCGTGGACGCCAGTGTGCTGGTGCGGCAGATCAGCCTGAGCCCCTCGAGCGGGGGCCATTTTGTGTTTCAGGAGGGGGCTGGCCTTGGCCAGCTGGCTCAGGGTGCGCCCATGGCTATGCGGGAGCGGAGACTGTCCCAGCCACATGCACAGTCTGGGGGCACCATCCACCACCTGGGGCCCCAGAGCCCAGCAGCAGGTGGCACCAGCATGCAGCCCCTGGCCAGCCCCGGGCACCTTGCCACAGCCAGCCTGCCCCCCCAGCTGAGCAGCCTGATCCAGGGGCAACTGATGCAGCAGCAGGTGCTCCAGGGCCAGCAGCTGAGCCGGCCCCTGGGCTTTGAGAGGACCCCGCAGGGTGTGCTCCTGCCCGGTGTGGGCGGGTCCCCAGCTACCACATCCATGGCATTCGGCATGACATCCCCACCCCCGCCCACCAGCCCCTCCAGGACCTCCGTGCCCCCGGGCCTGTCCAGCCTTCCGCTCACATCTGCAGTGGGTGTTCGAAAGGCTCCCCGGAAGCTGGAGGAGATCCCTGCTGCGTCTCCAGAGATGGCACAGATGCGGAAGCAGTGCCTGGATTACCACTACCGAGAGATGGACGCCCTCAGGGAGACGTTCAAGGAGTACTTGATTGAACTGTTCTTCCTGCAGCACCTGCAGGGGAACATGATGGACTTTCTGGCCTTCAAGAAGAAGCACTATGCTCCGCTGCAAGCGTACCTTCGACAGAATGACCTGGACATTGAAGAGGAAGAGGAGGAGGAAGAGGAGGAAGAAAAGTCAGAAGTCATCAATGATGAGGTAGGTAATCAGTTTAATCCTCTAGAGTTCTTGTAATGTTAACTTAGAAAATAACTTGCCAATGACTAGACTGTCTCTAGGATTTGGGTTTCGTAAGACTTGGTCCATGAGTTCATGGTAGAATGTGTTTTTACCTTGATTATCTTGTAGAAAAGAAGATCTAATTCAAGAGAGCAATGTGTTGGGAGAAAAATACATAAAGGCAGAATGATGAATGGTTTTTTAAAACCCAAGTATTGTATGATAGAACCGGAACTCATCTCGGCCCAGAGCCTGGTGAGCCCTAGGTGATGGGGTCTGGCAGATGCTTAGCCGACTTGGTTCTTCAGCGGTCAGATGAGCAGTGTGTACCCCAGCCAGCTGGTGTTGGGTTCATGGCTTAGATCGGTCAGCCCAGAGAGGCCCTGTCCACCTTGCCTTTAAGCAGGATTTAACTGTAGCCTTTCCCAGCACACCAGCTAGAGTTACAGATCACAGGGTCTGTTGTGCAGGACCTGACTGAATAAGTTACAGTTACCATGGAGCTGATATCTGACCCTACATCCCTGACCTATGGGAATTTTTCTGATGAGCGTTTTACATCAGATTTAAACTCTCACACTCATACGAACCCCTCTGAGTGATCTTTTCCAAGACTCTGTTGGGCAGCGTGCTTGTTGGGTACCTGAATGGCTGTTTCTGCAGCTCCAGGTAGAGGTACCTCTTTCCTGGGAGCCCTAGGTGGGAGCGGGTGGGTGGCCTGTCCTGTGACCACTGTCGCTGTGCCTGTGTCCTGTACTGCACACTGTGTCTGTGGGCTCATTTTGTTTGATGACCTAGTAAAGGTGACCCAGACCATCAGCGCTCACTTCGCAAAGAAGTCAACTAGTTCTCTGCTCCAGCAGTCCTTATTTATTTAGGGGTGTATCTGTGTGGCTTTGCCATTTGTGGTCTCGTTAACTCCCTTCCAGAATGGAGCATTTTTATTTTTCAAAAGATTTTCCTGATTCTTTTGGGGGGTTCCCTGAGTAGTGTACGCAGTCTTCTTTATGTCTGTACCAGTGACACCGGTGTTGTCTGTGAGCTCAGTCCCTCTCTATCTGTGCTGAAAAGGGAAAAAGAATCCTCTTTTTCAACCTCCTGCAGAATCAGGCCCCTGCCATCTGAGCCTGTGTCTAGTCGGGACAGCACAGCTGCTGTGCAGATGGCCCCTGCCCGTGTCAGGCTTTTCTTCCTGGAAGCCTGCTGGCCATTGTCCAAGCTGAAGGGCCTCTCTCCCTGGTGACTTAAATTCGTGCTCCTGTAAGGTGGCCCTGCGTGAAGTGTCACACGCTTGACCCGGCGTGCTCAGCGTCCTTTCACAGAATTCAATGCAAAGCCTTCCCTTTTTATGCACCAGACACCGTCAGCTGTCAGCAGTGAAAGTCTTAACAACATTCTGAGCAGTCTTAAATATTATGTTGCCTTTTTTTCTCAAAATATTTCCTCTCAGGTAAAGGTTGTGACAGGAAAGGATGGGCAGACTGGGACTCCAGTTGCTATAGCAACCCAGCTTCCGCCAAAGGTTTCTGCTGCCTTTTCTTCCCAGCAGCAACCACTGCAGGTACTTTTCGATGGTTCTCAAATGTAGTCTCATCCCAAACTTCTCCTCCATCCAGATATTTTAACCTTCAATTTACTATTTGCTCTTTGGCATTTTTTTTTCCAGAGCCCATTCCTTATTTTTAAAAAAACCACAAACCAACCACAAACCAACCTTCCTGCATATGAGATAAAAGTAAATTGCATGAGTCAATGACAACACAGAGCCTAATGCATCCTCTGGCGTGTTGACATAACACAGTAGTAGCTTTCAGCTTGCATGCCCCCGCCCAGCCCTGTTGAATGTGCACACGAGCCCTTGTGTACCATGCTTTCCATGTTGTGTCCCCCGTGTCTCCCCCGTGTCTCCAAGACCAGTGCCAGCCAGAACAAGACAAAAAGCCGTAAGCAGACGCTGCAGCGAAATACACCTCAGAAGCCATCAGGGTCCTAGACTTCCAGTGAACGCACGTGGTTTATCGCTGATCTTTCAGAAGTCAGCTGGTGTCAGCTTAGTCACATCAACGATGGAAAGTTAGATGCTAGTCATGTTGGAGCACGTTTTGTTGAGTTCTGAAAGCAGGTTCAGCAGTGTGGTGATGTTTTATTGTTTTTTATTTTACTGTGATTTCAAACCAACAAAAAACCCCTATAAGAATAGTAAAAACTCACCAGTTGTTGACTTGCTGACCCATTTATGTTGCTGTTCATTTTCTCTTTCCCCCTTCCTCATGTGCATGTGAGCCTGTGTGTGTTTCTCCCGTCTGAGTGTATGTTGCAGAGAGCACATCATACTCCTATATCCCTAAATACTTCTGCACATGCTGCAAACAGTTATCTCACCGACCCACACTACAATCGTCAGGATTGGGGAGTTCTGCAGTGGTGCAGGACCATTACAGAACCGTCTTGGAGCATGGTGGCATGATAATTAAAGTACTGGGATGCTAACAGAGAGCTTGGCATTTCTCCCTCACTCAGGGAAGCCCTGGGGTGCAGTTCTTCTTTGTCGCCAGGGTTGTGATGACTTCAGAATCGACTCGATGCTGGTGGACTTTTGGGTGTGTAACTTGCATTTCCTGTCCATGTTGTGCTTGCTGGCCCGGTGGTATCCTCTGTGGTCACTGCCCCAGCCCAGGTCCTGTATCTTGTCATGCCTCTGTAGTCTTGTATGGTTGAGTTCCTCAGTTTCTCACACCTTATGCCTTTCAGTGGCACAGGCTGGAGACTTGATGTGACATCTTTCAGTATGAGCTTGTCTGGTGTGTCCCGCGTTAGTCTCACATCATATTTCTGAGGAGAATGCACAGATGTGACAGTGTTCATCTCAGTATCATGTGGATACGCAGTGTGCCTGTTTGTCCCAGCCTAGTGACTCTGAGGTTGGCCGTTGAAACTAAAAGGTGCTGGCAAGCTGTTGTTTTTGTCTTTGGTCAGTTATAAGTAATTTGGGTGTAATTCCTTGAGAATCTGTGCACATGCTCAGTACATTTTTACCCATTTAATTTTAATATGTCAGTGGGTCTTGTTTGAGTCATTTATGACCTCAGAGATGGCAGAGTATATTTCTCATTATCTTCCTGTGTTTATTAGTCAACATTCTGCTATAACATAGAACTTGCCCCGTCCTCCAGTCGCACATAAATTCTTGTCTCTATGCTGATTTTAATCGATGGCCTATGATACTTCACCACTATTATTTTTATTTATGTTTATCTTGGTTACATTCACTGAAATCTACCCCGTCTAGACTGTCTCTCTGTCCAGAAAGTCTCCTACAAATTTTATAGTTTGTTTTACATTTTGATCTGTGTTTCATTTTGAGAGAACTTTTATGTAGTTTGGCAAGTGTAGAAAGAGACTCATGTTTATAAATGTGAATATCCAGCTATTCCAGCACCAGTTCTTGAAAAGATTATTCTTTCCTTGTTGCATCATCTTTATCTCTTTAAAAAATTTTTATTTAGGGAGCTCTGGTGGCCTAGTGGCAAGACGCTGCACTGCAATCCGAGAGGTACGCGGTTCAAATCCACCAGATGCTCTGCTGGAGAAGGAGGGGGCAATCTCCTCCTGTACCAGTCAGATCTGATTTGACAGTACAAGTAAAAATAATACAATTTAAAAAAAAATAATATTTATTTATTATGTTTGTGTGTGGCTGTTGCTGGCCTCTATTATCTTCATTGATTTGTCTGTTTCTCTTTAAATCAATGCCACAATGTCTTGCTTCCTGTAGTTTTGTGGTAAGTCTTGTCATAGGGTGGTGTGAGTTATTTGACTTAGTTCTGCTTTTTTGTAATTATTTTGGCAATTTTAGTCCCTTTTCCTTTCCATCTGAATTTTAGGTTCAGTTTGTCACTATCTAGAAAACATCTTGTAGTCATTTTGATTGAGATAGCGTTGAGCAAATTGACCCTTTGTAGGGAATTGCTGTCCTGACAATATTGAGCTCCCCAGTTCATGAACATGGTAAACTCCATGTTTTTAGATTTTTTTAAATGTTTTACCAGTATTTTGTAGGTTTTTGGTTTTTTTTTTTAAATTTTATTTTGTAGTTTTAAGCATACAGTGCTGGGTATATTTAACTAAGTCTTCTAGTTTTTGTTTGGCATTATAAATAGTGCTTAATTATTTTGTTTTTGAAGTGAAATTCTAATTAGTTGTTCATTGCAAATACGTAGAAATACTGTTGATGTTTGAACTTTTATTTTGCAGCCTTGCCAGAGTAGTTTACTAGCTTTAGGAGAACTTTTGGGAGACTCCATGAAATTTCTACATAGATGATTATATTTTCTGCAAATAGAGTAAGATTTATTTCCCCCCCCTTCCAATCTCTGTGCCTTTTAGTCACTATTTATGGATTTATAATTTGCTTTGTTGTATGGTCAAAGCCTGAGTGTGATGTTGAATAGGCATGTGGGAGCTGACCTTGTCTTGTTCCTCGTCAGCAGACCATTAAGTGTGATGTTAGCTGTGGATCTTGTGCATGTCTTTTGTCCAACTAAGGACATTTCTGTCCATTCTTGTTTGTTGAATTTGTTTTTGTTTTTACATCTTGTTTGTTTTTACATCTATTGAAACTATAATTTAATGTGTGTGTGTGTGTGTGTACCGTCAAATTGGATCTTACTGGTACAAGAGGAGATTGTTCCTCTTTCTCCAAGCAGAGCATCTGGTGGATTCAAACCATGCACCTCTGGGATTGCAGTGTGGCTTCTTACCACTAGGCCACCAGAGCCTGCCTAATTAAAAAAAAAACAACCAAAAAAAAACACCAACAACAAACAAACCTGTTAAACATGTTGCCACACACTTTTAAATTGACGATCGTGCTTAGAAACACACATTTTGCGAAGCAGCTCGTTCCCCCTGTAAAAAAAAATCCATGTGACAGAATGTACTGTTATTTACACAATGTTAAGCACCTGAAAAACTTTACAGTAAAGCTAAAAATTTGTAAAAAAAAAAAAAAAAAGAAACACATTTTGCCATCCTTTGCGGCAACGTGTTAAAAAGAATTACTTCGATTTCTCGAAGTATAATTTACGGCAGAGGGAAAGGCACAGATCTCTTAAGTGTTTGTTTGCTGAGTTTTGCCAAAAATGTATATCTGTAGAATGCACATGCTTGTCAGTGTGTAAATTCCATCATGTCACAAAGTTTCCTGGGCTCCTCCCTGGTCCTTCACTGCCCAGTTCTCTTTGCCACCGTCATTGTCATTCAGTCTGATGCTCAGATGAGCCATCCGTTGATGGTTGGCGGTCCTGCAGACTGGGTTCCCTGTACTTCAGACACCGCTCTGCCACTTCCCCAGCACTTCCTCACTTTCTGGCACAAAAGCATCATCTTGAAAATTCTATCCTTTAACCCTAGAATCTGTCATTTCTTCAACCTGGTTCTTTTTAATAAGGAATAAGTGAAACTGATATTTAAGATCTGCATGTAAAGATTTTGATTCAGTTTGAAAACAAGTCTTAAATGGCAGATTGTCAGAAAAATGTATTGATTGGTGGGTCCTCTTTGCTGTTACCGTGTGGCAGACAGTTACACAGTATATTTATGGGTCCCAAGCTGTAGAAGCAGAGGGACATGAGATTTCCAAGAGGGGGCTATAAGCTTCTGAAAACTATGTGCCTGCTCCACAGTGACTGAAGTGAAACCACTCAGGTTACTGTCATGTCATCAGCATATGATGGACTGTGGTGTAGGTTAGTGGTGGCTTTTGTCCACTTCAGGTGAGAGTATGTCTGGACCGGCCATTTGGAAACCCTTACCTGATTGGGTAGAGGTGAGCATATGCTGTCAAGATCCTCTTATACTTGAATGTCAGCTTAGACCATCAGTGACGTCCTAGCAGCGTTATTTTTCACAACTCTGGCCTGGACAGAACTGAAATGTGCATACTGGGGAGTGGCAGTGTTAAAGGCGTGGTGGGGTCCTTTCACACAGAAGGACACTTGGGGTGAGAAGGTGAGTTAGGGTACTTTCTTACAGAGGGACACAGTCAAGGCAAGGTGGCATCCTTTCACCCAGAGGGACACCATCAAGGCGAGGTGGGGTCCTTTCACACAGAAGGACACTGTCAAAGCAAGATGGGGTCCTTTCACCCAGTGGTACACAGTGTGGGTAAGAGAGTGAACTAGAGCCTCTGAGCAGGGCTCCAGACTCACTCCCAGGGGTCTTGTTATTTGCCACCCACTGGAGGACTTTGATTATAAACTAGGTCCTTGTTAACTTCACTCATGGTTCTGAGCACTGGTGTGTGTTGCTTTCCATCTGCTTCCCAGAGGCTCTGAGTGGTCTTGTTGAGTGTAGTTACTGTATGTGATTACAGTTACACTTAGGTATAAAAAGCCACCCTAATTGGAAATTATTTTCTTATGTTAGAGAAAATAAGTAATTATTTAATCACTGTTAATGCTAACCCAGTTGTTTTTTATGTTATGCTATATATGTATTCATATTTTTAAGTTGTGTTAAAAGTTCAGAGATATAAAGTGGTATCTCAGCTTGTTGTAACACTTCCACGAGAAGGCATGACTGGTATTTTTGGTCTCTTCCCATTACTGTGTGTTGGTGTGTCCTGTTGTTGATGACCCTGTACATTGGGTTACCCCACAGGACATCTGTGCTACAGTGTCTACTGGAGCAGGTCACACCCTTTTCCGTGTGGAGCCACTGGTGGGTTCAGAGTGGCTGAACTTTTGGTTAGCAGCTCAAAGCTTAAGCACTGCACCACCAGGGTGCCTTCTCTGTTAACGTTATCCAGAGTGAAACGTGAGTTCCTTTAGAATCATGAGTTGAAAAGACCACAGGTTGTCTAGTCTGAAGTCCTTGCTTTGCAGAGATGTTCAGAGAAGTGGCCACTGTACTCCTTTCCTGGCCCTTCCTGGCCCTCTCAGTGCCAGCACCATCTTACCAAGTGTCATCTTCTTTGTTAAAAAGTTGCATTTGTGTATTTAGATGTGTCTTTGCCTGTTGGAATTGAGCAATGACTGCCAGCTGGTCTTGAGTCTTCCTTTCAGGAAAACACTGTGTGTGTCAGATGTCCTATGTTGTCTTTCCTGTGAGCAGCACAGCTGTTTCTTTCAACTGGTCTTTTTCTTGGTATAGTTTCTAGACTTCCCGGAATGATATTACAGCTTCTGTGAATATATTCTGCTTTGGCATCTTCTCTCTCAGTGGTGACGAGAATTAAGTGCCTATCACAGAGTTCGTGTTTTCTCCATGAAAAAAGTTTCTTCTAGTTCCATCTAATGATAATTTTAATGAAAGTAAAGCTTGCATTTAAGGATACCACCGATATCCTTCCCAATGAAATAGTCTTGTGAGGATCATGTGAGGCAGAAAAAGAGGTCTATAAACTCTAGCAAAGGCCTGCTATCGACAAGGGGTCTGGAAGAGTCTCTGTGCACTTTGGCAGGGAGATCAAGCCGTTTGTGTCTAGGTCCTCCAGGAAGATGGGTGAGCAGCAGTATGTAACATTAAGAGCATTGCCTTCCCTGATCATGTCCTTTGATATATCAGAAACCAAACCCACTTCTATCAGGTTGATACCAGCTCATGGTGATGACCCCTTAGAGTAAGATAGAACTTAGGGTTTCTAAGACGCCAGTCTTTCTTTTTATATATATATAATTTTTTAAAAAATGTCATTGTTTTGTGTGTGTACCACCAAGTCGGTTCTGACTGGTATAGGAAGAGATTGCCCCTCCTTCTCCAGCAGAGCAACTGGTGGATTTGAACCACATGCCTCTGGAATTGCAGTGCAGCTTCCTGCCACTAGGCCACCAGAGCTCCCCAGACTCCAGTCTTTATGGAAACAGACTAATCTGGCTCCCACAATGAAGCTTTTGTATTTGAACAGTTAACCTTTCAATTAGCAGCCGAACATTCAGCTCACTGTGCGACCAGGACAACTCTCTGCATGCACAGAAAAATTTCTTTTTAAAAGAATTTATTTCAATTAAGAAAATCCTATTTCCATGTAAATGTTTGGTTTTCCAGCTTGAAAAGATGTCCTGGTATCCATCATATAGAAGGAAGACTCAAGACCATTTGGCTTTGGGGCCCAAATTCACCATTAGAAGGGTGGGCAAATTTGGCTGCCCTTGCTTCCCATTCAGAGATTCGAATCCGGCCGTTAACTCCTGCCGTTGACACTGGCGGTAGATGAACCTGAGCTCTGTTTTATGTCACTTCCTCTTCTACATTTTCCAAATGACTGTTATACCTATCCAGTAGTTTAAAAATTTATTTAAAGTGGTTTTTCTTTTTCAGTTATAGACTCTGTTTTCTTTTTTTTTTAATAATACCTTTTTCTGTTGAGTTTTGCTCTGTTCGTCTTTGTTGTTGTTGTGTGCCATCAAGTTGAGTACAAATCAGAGTGAACTTAATGAACCTGGAACCTGCCCTATACTGTTCCATCCTCATCATCTCTGATATACTCAAACTTATTGTCACAGTCACGGGGTCAGTCCATCTTATTGAAGGTCGTCTTTTCTCTGACCTTCCCACTTTTCCAAGCCTGATGATGATGCTCTTCTCCAAGGACTGGCTCCTCCGAACAACATATCTAAAGTATGTGATGCGAAGTTTCACCATCCTTGCTTCCAAGAAGCACTGTGCTTTCACTTGGACTGCCAGCCCAAAAGCTTGCAGTTTGAATCCACCAGCTGCTTCACTGGAAAAAGATAGTCAGTGTTCTCCTGTGTGATTTACAGCCTCTGAAGACCTACAAGAGGGGTCAGTTTTGAGTTAGTTCTAACTTGATGGTACCTAACAACCACAACCTTACTCATAGTTTACTTTTAATAAAAAAAAATAATACTGAGTTGAATTCAACTCATGGTAATCCCATGTAGAACAGAACTCTTCATTGCATATATTTTTTTTCCTTTATGGTTATCTCAAAGTTAGTGTCTATTTAGCACAGATCATGTTTTTGTTTTATTGTTTTTCTTTGTATGCTGCTTTAATTGTGAGTTGGGTTTTGGAGATCATGAGCAATAATACACTGTGTAGATGCTCAGTTCTGTGATGTTCTTGCAAAGAAGAGTATAGGTTGTTTGGCTGTAGTGGTTGGTTGGTTTGATTGAAATTGGAAACTCCTCTCCTCTGTGGAAAGTGGAGCTGAGATCCCAGGCTCCCCTCTTGGTCTGTCACCCTTGCTTGGCCTCTGCCTTGTCAGGCACAGTTGAAGAGTCCTCCAGAGCTCAGCAGTGGGCATGGAGAATGGGGGTTCTCCCTCTCTTTTAAGTGATTCTGCTTCCTTCCCCACTGCTGTGATTATCTGCCCTCCCTGTTCTCCCATGGAGACTGCCTTTTTTGCATTTTGGTTCTCTGTGTAGTGCTGCCTGCCATCTGCTCTTGTGCAAGTGTGTAGAAAACAGGAATTTCAGCTAGTTTGCTTCTTGCAAGGAACTAGTTCACCTCCTGCATCTGGCAACCTTTTACTATTGTTTATGTTCCCGGATCTCTGGTGGCTTAGTGGTAAGGAGTTGTGCTGCCAGCCCAAAGGTAGATGTTCAATCCACCAGCTCTTCCATAGGAGAAAGATGGTCAGACCCCTTTTATGCGATTTATTGCTTCTGCAAACCCATTTTAGAGTCAGCTGTGAGTCAGTTCTGATGTAGCGGTATATAATAGTAGTAGGGTTTACTTCTGGCCATCTGCAATAGGTTTGGTCTGATAGGAGAGAGCACTTGGCCATCACTAGAAGCAGGACCTTTAGTAAAAAAAAATTCTGTAACACATGTTCACTGTGAGGCATTTAGACAATTTGGAGGAGCCTGCATGTGTGCACACATAAACCCTCAGAGGAATCCTGCCCCTGGTACAACCACCATTAACATGTTGGTGTCTGTCCCTCCATCATTCTTCTCCTTCCTCTCATCTCCCTCTCTTTGTACACCCTACCGCACCCTTCTCTGTTAGATGCAGATGAAGATTGCTGTGCAAGCACTCTATTTGGTACGCTCTGGCCATCTTCTTTCCTCCAGGGATGGATAGTCTTAACAGGATTGCAGTGACTCTGTTCAGGCAGGCTATCTGTAACTTATGCAGTAAGTAGGGCAGATGCAGCCACATCACTTGATGGTCAGGCAGCAGCTAGCTGCTAGTAGAGTCCCCAGCCTTTGCTGTGAGTGCAAGGATGTTGGGACACAGGATGGCCAATCTGGCCATAGCCTAACCCTGCTGAATATTCTCGGTCTACTTCAAACAGCATGCCAGTGTTACTCAGCATTTGAGTAACCCAAAACTAATGTTATTTTTGCATATTTGCATATTAAGTAGAGTGCTAATTGTAAAACCCAAATTGTTTTAAAGACCTGAGCTAATTAGATCAGTAGCAGCTGAGGCTTTACTGTTTGAGTTCCTGTGTATGGTACAGTCCTGTTTTGCTTTGTGTCTGTGAGGTGGGAGACATGGCTGGCACTGGGACTGCTCAGGCTGGTCTGTCACTCTCACGTGGGCTCTCTACTCTAGTTCATACACAAAGCCAGCTGGCCCCTGAGGGCCTTAGATGGGCATTGGTTTGCAGAACCACGTGTTTTTACTTGCTTTCTTCTTGCTTGACAGGTAAGTTAGAGCCATGAGCCATGGAGTAGGCCTAAGTAGATAGCACATATGTGTGTGGACGCACAACATCCTTCAGATCATGTTTTCGTATTAAAATGAAGTCAGGATTTGGGTAATGATGCGTTTTGTCTGAGTTCGTCCTTGTTACACATTACGGATCTCAAAGGTCATTTTTCCATTTTCCTCACAGCAAGCACTCACAGGGACCCTGGTGGCTGCTGGCAGCACGATCGAGGTGGACCCTTTCCAACGGCAGTCAGCACTGCCTCCACAGGCAGGTATGTCCCAGGCAGGACCTCCAGAGACAGGCGTGTATTGTGGGTAGGACCCCCAGCCTTGGGTGCACTGCTGGGAATGGACTCACACCACCTGCCTCCAGATAATGAGGCCAAGAGAGGTTTTCTGGCTGTTTCTCTCCACTTTGAAAGTTAGTGTTCTTGTGGAGATTACCAGCTGGGGAAAAAAAAACCCAAACAAAAACTCTGTGAAAGTGTATGTGTGTTAAGTTGAATAGGTGTGTACCGTACTGGTCTGGAGTGTGTATACTAAGACTCTTGGGTCACATGAGAAGGGTAGTCATTTCTTTTTCTCAAACCAGTTCTTCCTTCAAATTACAAACTCAATGATACAAATAGAGCAGGAAGGTCTTAAGTTTGTGTGTGGGTTAGAATTACCTGCCCAAGGGTCACCACACTTAACATCATGTATTTCTGCAGATGTTTTTGGTGAAACACAGCACCATTATTTGAAAACAGATTCAAAATGACCTTATATGCCCTGTGTGTGTCATTATTTCTTTTACCTAATAGACCACCTTGGACATCTTTCCAAGTCGTTATACCTCATTCTTTTTGATGTCTGTATGGTAGTGTGTGTGTCTTGTGGATGGTTTGCTGTCTTTTTAACCAGATCTTTATTCACGTTCATTTTGTTGTTCCTGCTTCTTTTCCTGTTGTACTCAGTGAGAACATTTTGTTGCATATGCTTTTTTCCTTCCTGATTGTCTATAGAGATGAAATTACTGAGGCATAGAATGTGGTCACATTGATGCTGCCCCATGGCCCTTTGAGGGAGCAGGCCCAGTTTCACCCCAGCAACAACTTCTGCTCCTTAACCTGTTTATTCCCTAAGCTGTTTCCACCAGCTGCTCTGCAGGAGAAGGATGGATGATCTCCACGTGATTTACTGCTTTTGAAAACCCGCTGGCGGGTCGGTTATGAGTCTGTTCCCACTTCATGGTAGACAACAACAACAACCTGTTTGTCATTTTATTAAGCATGGCTGATCTTTTGATCTTTGTAGATAATGATAGGTGAACATTTATTATCTTGTTTTGATTTTGATTTCTTTAATTTTGAGTAAAGTTTTGCAACAATTAAGTGCTAGGCTTATACCTGGAAGGTTGATGATGTGAACCCAGTAGCGTCTCGACAGGTGGGAAAACTAGCAGTCTGCATGTGACCACTGCGGCCCGGCCTGAGAAGTCCAGGGGCAGCGTGCTCTGTCCTGCAGGGCTGCTGCACATTGGGATGGGCTCATTGCAGTTGGTTTGGTAAATTTTAGTAAGGTTGCCCTGCATCGTTGTTTTGATTAGTTGTGAGTCTGTCCTTCTGAACTCAATGCCTGAGAAGTGCTTTCCAGCATTAAGTATGCTAGTTTTTGTCTGTCATACTGCAGATAGTATGTCCTACATGGTGCTTTGCCCTTTGCTTTTTAATGATAAGACATTGGTAAGGTTTTGATCACAAGAAGTGCTATGCTCTCATTTCATCCTCTGGTATTGGATTTTTGGTTTGTGTGTGGAGTGGACCTTCCCAGCCAGATGTTTTGTAAACACGTGGCCGTATTTTTCTGTATCACTCTGTGGTCTCCTGCATCACTCTCCACCTCTTTGATAATTATTCCAGAGCAATCCAAGAGGCCTCGACTGGAAGTGGGTCACCAAGGGGTGGTTTTCCAGCACCCAGGGGTGAGCACGGGCGTTCCTCTCCAGCAGTTAATGCCAACGGCTCAAGGTAGGTGGGATGTGCATGGCCCTCTTAACTCATGGGCAGTGGCATACTGGTCAGTGTCCCCACAGCTCTCTTCAGAGTCTAGGCAGCTGAGCAGGAAAGGCTTAAGCTGATCTTGACCTTTAGGGGGGCCACCAGCTCTCCTTAGTATTTTGCCCAGAGTTGGCCTTGCCTTTCTTAGCTACTATCCCTGAGGTATCCAACCCCCCCCTTTTTTTCTGTTGTCGGTGGAGTGCATCCTGTCTTTCTTAGCTGCTTCCTGTGGGTGCATCCCTCTTTGTTAGCTGCTGCCTATGGTGTGCCCCCCTTTCCTAGCTGCTGTCCGTGGAGTATGTCCTCCTTTTATAGCTGCTGCCAGTTGAGTACACTCCCTCTTTATTAGCTATTGCCTTTGGCGTGCCTCCCTTAGCTACTGCCCAAGGGTGTACCCCTTTTTCTTCTTAGCTACTATTTGTGGGGTGGTTCTGTGCTTGCATGCTGCTGGCTCAGTGCTGGCGTGCAGAGGCAGTGCCCCTACCTTTGTGTGCTGTTTCTACTGTGAGTTCTGAGTGCTCTCAGGTTGGGTCTGAGATGAGGATTCTGGCTTTAGCTTTGTTTCCTTCTGACTAAAGTCGATGCTTTTCCTCTGGATCTACAGGAGGGATGCCACCCACTCCACAGGCTGCACAGCTCACAGGGCAGAAGCAGAGCCAGCAGCAGTACGACCCATCCACAGGCCCACCTGTGCAGAATGCTGCCAGCCTCCACACCCCGCCACCACAGCTACCCACCAGGCTCCCTGCTGCGGGTGCCCCTGCCACAGCCCCAACGGCCACACTGCAGTTCTCACAGCAGACCCCTGTGATGGAGTCGCAGACGCAGCTCCAGATGTCCACGAAGGCCCAGCAGCCCACAGGGCCCATCCCTGTGCCCCCATCCAGCCAATTCCCGGCTCCACCACAGCAGCCTGCCCAGCCCACACTCCATGTCCCACTGCCTGGGAAGGCCCACGTGCAGGTGTCACAGCTCCCGACCCAACCACAGGTGTGTGTGGGCAGGTGCTCTATTACAGGTGGGCATGGGAGGGGAGGGGCAAGCTGGGAGGGCACTGCTAGCCACAGGTTGTGTGTAGGTAGGTGCTCCGTTACAAGTAAGGAAGGGGGAGCAGGGGCAGGCCAGGAGAGTGTTGTGCCCGCTGCCATTTGCACTGTCTCTTAGCACTACCTTGAGGGGCTGTGAGATGTCGTCTTTGTTGGTAGAGTAACACACTCAGGGAGTGCTGGGGACAGGCTGTGATGTCCCTTGCTGAAGTGAAGTTGTCATTGGTAGAGTAACAGGAGATAGTTCTCATGGTGGTGCTGGGGACAGGCCATGATGTCTGCTATCTTGTTAGGATTGTGAGGCCGTGATGTCTGCTGTCCTGTTAGTATTGTGAGCTTGGTGCAGGACGGGGACAGCTTCCTTCTGTTGTGTTTGAAGTCACTGAATTGAGGTTGACTTGATGGCACCTCATGGCAACAAGTGACTGGGGATGGTGCTGTCTGGTTACTCATCCTCTGTCTGGGGCTGCACAGACCCCAGCTTACAGGTGAGGTGGTTGGGAGCCAGGTGGAATATGCAGAAGGGTGAGGTCTTAGTGGTGGTAAGTGGAGGTTTGACTTGAGGTCACTGTGATTCCAGGTCTGTCGGCTTAGGTCTGACCTCCGCTTGTGTGCACCGTGGAGGGAGAGCGTGGCCCCTGGGCAGGGGTGTGCGCTCTCTAGGCCTCTACTTCCTCTAGGTTTTCATGCCCATGTGTCTCAGTGTCTTGGATGTGGAGCAGGCCTGTGGTGTTCTGATCTGTTTACTTACCTAGAGGATTTAAAGGTCATCCCGTCTGTCCAGGTATCCTGCTGTGGTGACTTGTGTGAGTCTAGATGCTGTCACTCCTAGGGGGACATTTCTGAAATAGCAGCCGTTAGAAAACCTATGATCACAGTGGACCATTATGGGTGTTGTGATGAAGACCTGTCATAGTTCTGTGGTTGAGCTTCCTGGGTGTCGTGATGAAGAACTGACCCTGTGTGTGATCACAGTTGACCATCGTGGGTTCATGAAGTGGACCTGTCCTCAGGTGTGGTCACAGTTGACCATCTTGGGTGTTATGATAAAGACCTGTCCATGTGTGTGATCACAGTTGACCATCGTGGGTTTTATGATGAAAACCTGTCCTCATTAGTGATCACAGTTGACCATTGTGGGTGTTAAGACGAAGACCTGCTCTGGTATGTGGGATTGCCCTTCTGTTGTCCAGGATCCACTGGATTGAGGTGACATGGCGGTGTGGGCTGGTGTCCAGCGAACAGCCATATGAGACCCAGATAGCAGGGTTGTCGCTGGCTCTTAGGCAACTTCCCAGGATACAAGTGCCATCCTTGGTGTCCTTCGTGTGTGTAACTCCGGGGTAGGAGGTATTTCCTCTGGAGCTCTCACGCATGCCTTATAGATAGCTGTCCAGGAAAAGCAGGAGCTGCTGTAGTTACCTGGTGGTGCAGTGTGTTATGTGTGGGTCTGCTGACTGAGATGTCGGTGGCTAGAATCCACATCTTCTCTTCTGTGACTTAGCCTCATCATGGATCATCGGAATGGACCTGCTGGCAGTGGGCTCAGTGAGTGGGTGTTGCCTCCTGTAAAGCATATGGACTGAAACCTTATCTTATTTTCTGTTTGTTAGACTGTAGCACTGACGAGACCCCCCCTGGAGTCTGCCCAGCCCTGCCAGAGGCCTCTGCCCACCTCTTCTACCTCGTCCCTCACTCCCGTGGGCAGTTCGGGCCCAGGACCCTCACCTGCACGAGCCTCGCCTGTGAATAGACCTTCCTCAGTGACTAACAAGTCTCTGTCTCCCGTCACATCCCGGTCCCCGGGGGCAGCCATCCCTGTCCCCTCCAAGGCACAGAGCCCAGCTCAGAATGCCACTGCGTCCCTGGACAGTTCTCAGGAGAAGCTGGCAGAACAGATAACACTGGTGAGCTCACATCTGCTTCAGGATGAGCGCGACAGTCAGGCTTGCTCACGGGAGTCCAAGATGCAAGACCTGGGCATTCCCAGGTCCACCACACAGTACAGAGCTGCATGGTGGGTCTAGGGGAGGACAGGGGAGTGCTGGACCAGCTCTGTACTTGGTGGTGGATCTCAGGGTGGATGGGACCATGCTGGACAGCCCTGCACTGAGCAGACATCCCCACAGTAGGCACACTGAAGGTCCTTGTGGCCTCTGGGCAGACACAATGTGGGACGACAATGTGAACTTTGTCTTGCTCCCACATTGTGTGTTTCACAGACCTCTCTACACCACACTGTGTGCTCAGCTCTCAGATGTTGGGTGTCTGAGTGGACTACACACTTCATTGTTGTGTGCTAACCCCCACACACCCTCTGACAGGAGAACCAGGTCCAGCAGCGTGTCTCTGAGCTGAGGAAGGAGGGCCTGTGGTCACCACGGCGGCTGCCAAAGCTGCAAGAAGCCCCGAGACCCCGGGCACACTGGGACTCCCTGCTGGAGGAGATGCAGTGGATGGCTACCGACTTCGCCCAGGAGCGCAGGTGGAAGGTGGCTGCTGCCAAGAAGGTAGGTGGGACGTGGCAGATGGCCATGGCCCCAGGGTCCCGTGGGTGGTGTTGGCATCATTCAGAGAAGCGTTTGTAGATGAGAAGGCGGCTCCCTGACAGCACTGCACTTGTTGTGCAGGAGGCCTGCACTGATTGTCACAGCTGAGGGGGTAGTTTGAGGGTGGGCGGATGCTGCCCACTTGAATCTCTTCTTAGACAGACTGTTCTCTGATTTACATCTTAGTCTTTGTAGAAGGAAGATGCTATAGGTGGGTACATAAACACTGCCAGTGGGTACACGAATGTTGCAGGTGGACACAAAGATGCTACAGGTGGTCGTGCAGAGGAAATACACTCTAGGTGGGCATACAGATGTTGCAGGAAGGCACAGATGCTACAGATGGGCATGCAAGAGGGGAGACACTGCAGGTGGACACACATGCTGCATATGGGCATATAGACACTGCAGGTGGACACATCAACTCTACAGATGGGCATTCAGACACTGCAGGTGAGCATGCAGAGGGGAGACGCTGCATGCACTTGGACACGCAGAGGGAAGGTGTTCCAGATGGGTATGCAGACACTTCAGGTGAGCACACAAAAGGGAGATGCTGCAAGTGGGCATACGAACACTACAGGTGGGCACACGGAAAGGAGATGGTCCAGGTGGGCGCGGAGATGCTGCAGGTCATCACACTGCAGGGTAGACACTGCTGGGGACCTCCATAAAGCATATCCTCAGCTTCTGTGCAGTCATGTGCGTAACTTGACTGAAAGTGTATTGAATGGCATTCAGCCACGTTCAGGTCTTTGAAGAGGAAAGATGCACATAGTGTGTTAAATGGGAGAGGGAGATGCTTGCATAGTGTGAACCTGGTTTTAAGAACCGTTATCACTGCAAATCCAGAGGCGCACGGTTCTAATCCACCAGATGCTCTGCTGGAGAAGGAGGGACAATCTCCTCCTGTACCAGTCAGATCTGATTTGACGGTACACACATAAAAAATAAAATTAAAAATAAAATAAAAAAATTAAAAAAAAAATAAAAGAACTGTTATACTCAGTCCAGTGCCCTCTGGGAAAGCGATTGCCTGCAATCATGGGTCTATTGTGATCGCCTACCACCAGTTGTGGTGTTCCCAAGGGACAGGAGCTGATCTCTAGTACGCTGTGTCCTTAGAGGCTGGGCAGGTCACTTAAGATCTAAAGAGCCTTCTCTCACAGGCCAGCGCTTTGATTCTCACCTTTGTTTACAGCTGGTCAGAACTGTAGCTCGCCATCATGAGGAAAAGAAGCTTCGTGAGGAGAGAGGGAAGAAGGAAGAGCAGAACCGGCTGAGACGCATAGCAGCATCAACGGCTAGGGAGATCGAGTACTTCTGGTCCAACATTGAACAGGTATAGTTCTGGAACCATGTGGGGCCACACAGAGCACAGACCGGGCGCAGAGCTTTGGGAGCTTGGAGGAGAGGTGCATGCATGGGTAGGCTGTAGGAGGCCAGTGTGTGCGTGGGCAGGCTGTGGGTTGAAGAGGGCGGGTATGGGGAGGGGTGTGTGGGCTGTGGGCTGTAGGAAGGGGCAGTGTGTGTGGTTGGGCTGGGGCTATAGGAGGGCAGGTGAGTGTTTGGGTGGGCTGTGGATTGGAGGAAGGCCAGGGCAAGCTGTTCTTGCTACAGAGTTTCTCCCTGTGAGGCATGTGGTCACTTGTCACCAGGAGCTTGGTGAGGCATGCTGATCCAAGGCCTCCTGGGGGTCTTCCTCTAAGATGGGTGAATCCAGAGGCCAGTTATCTTCCTCCTCCATCTCCTCTCCCTCTGCTCATCCTGATATCCTCCACTTCCTTTCTTAACCTCCTCTCACAGCATAATAAAATTGAGACAGGACAGAGCCTGGTGGAACAGTGGATTAAGCACAGAGTTGCTAACCAGAAGGTTGGAGGTTCAAACCACTAGCCACTAGGTGGTGGTGTGCTCCTGTAGAGCTTCAGAGCTTAGAGATTCTAAGGCAGCACTGCTCTGTCTGACACAGCCACCATGAGTTGGAATCAACTTGAGGGCAGTGGTTTTGGTTTATTTCATTAGCTAGATTTAAATTAAATGAAAATGCACCAAACTGAACATTTATTTTTTAAACATAATTGAGATTGTGTTTCTATATGTATGATTATATATATATAATCTGTATGATTTTTAATATCTGTGATATACAGGATGTGTAATTTTGGTATTCTTAGTAACATGCTTCTTTATATGTATTTTTT